TTGTTAAGCTTATAGGGATAGTTCAGTTGATAGTTCTGTGTGCCCAGTATGGGCCTCTAGCAACAGTGGAATAGAAATGCAGTCCGTCTCATGATTGAGCCGGAAGTTCCAAGACAAGGGGGGAATGAAAGGGCGAGGACTACGCCCTCCACCTTGCCCCAGGGTAAGGGCTATGCCCTCCATCTTAACTTGGCCATGTGCTCAGCAAGCTTCTTCCCGGAAGATAGTCAAGGGAAGTGCACGCCATCACTATGATGACACACCGACTTGTGCCTGGCCAATCGACAGGGCCCACAGTCCTTTCTCCTCCCCTTACCCCAAACCCCTATAAAACCTCTCTCCACACAGAGTTTTCTCTCTCTCGGCCACTGGAGCTTACCGTTGCATCGGTGAGTGTGGCAGGGGAGCCAAACCTAGGTTTGAAATGAATGACTCTTTGCTTTTGCATCGGACTCGCTGGCTCCCTGTGGGTTCTTGGGAATCATGAAATCTGGGCACAACACCCTTGACCAGAATCAAACCGGGGACCCTTCAGTCGGCAGGCCGATGCTCTCTCCACTGAGCCAAACTGGTTAGGGCTGATTCCTTTTATTTCTTAAACATATTTTTTAAATTGATTTCAGAGAGGATGGTGGAATGGGGTGACCCACAGAGACCACCACCAGGGACTCAGATCAAAATTTAGGAGCCTTTATGAAGCTGGCCAGTGATGACAGTTACAGCACCCTGCCGAAGCAGAGGCTGAACTGCAGTGCCGACAACAGGAGTCACGTTTTATTATTAAATTCTGTGGAGGCCCAGAGAAAAATGTGTCTTTCAAATTCTGGGCCCCCAACATGGAGGAAACTCTCTTTAATTTTACTTTTTCCAGTTCTTTGTCTCCCAAATTTGGAATGAGACTTCCGGGCCTTCTGAGAAAGAAGGCCTGCATGCTGGGAGGGGGCCATGAGACCATATCTCAAGGCCTGGCCTGACGTCACCACCTTCTTATCTGTGTGTTCGAAGACAGCGTGCCCCGCCTGGCCGAAGTGCCAGATATGCAGCCCAGCACAATGGGAGAAGGAGAGAGAGAGAGACCAACTTCAATGATGAGACAGACCAGCGGCCTCCTGCACGCCCCACACTGGGGATGGAGCCAGCAACCCAGGCCTGTGCCCTCCATGACCTCCTGCTTCATAGGTCAATACTCAACCCCTGAGCCTCTCCAGCCGGGCTTGATTCCTCTGAGAAGCTAGAACCAGAACAGACAGATCCTTAGAAATAGAAAGCAGATCAGAGTTCACAGGGGATGGAAGGAGGGAGGAAGGGGACATGACTTCATGGGCACAGGGTGTGATTCCGGGTTCATGAAAGGGGTTTGTGTGTGTGTGTTTTGAATTTCCATTTCCAACAAGTCCCCAGGAGTTGTGATGCTAATGGTCTGGGGCTCACACTTTGAGAACCACTGTGTTAAAGCTTCCTGGGGAGCTGTCAGATTTTCCCCTTTTTGATCTGGACTCCCCTAGAATCTTCTTTAAAAAAAATTTTTATATTAATTTCAGAGAAGAAAGGATAGGGAGATAGAAACTGCTGAGCCAGCTCAGCCAGGTTCGGGAGCCCGAGAGGGGGCGGTGAAGGATTGAGAAAAGACCGACAAGAGAAGAAAGCTGGGTCTGGGTGGGACGCTGTCCCCTCTGATGGAGAGCTAGCGACAGCGCCACGGCCTGCAAGCCGAGTCCTTATTTTATAGCAGATTCCAGGAGGCAAAGTAAGGGCGTGGTGACAACGTTCTCACGGGATTCGAATCCACTCAGTTACAGGCACCTGATCAAGCTTTGTTACCGCACCTCCCGCAGCCCCATCAGGCCAAGCTCACAACCATAGCCTTTGGCTGTCATGGTGCCGGGAGGGCTTTGCCACGAGAGGACCAAGCCCTCTCATTAGTCCCAGGCTTGACCCTGTCCAAACGCGGTAGCCGCTTCCCCAGAAACATCAGTGATGAGAGAGAATCATTGATCGGCTGCCCCCTGCACGCCCCACACTGGGGATGGAGCCCACAACCTGGGCATGTGCTCTGAGTGGGAATCGCACCCCGACCTCCCAGTTCATAGGTCCATGCTCAACCCCTGAGCCTCGCCAGCTGGGCTCCCCTGGAATCTTCTGATCACCTTGTTCATGAGAGAGACACTATGGAAAAGGCAGGCTGGGGAGAGCCCCCTCGCTCCCCAGGGGAGAGGCGGCCATGGCTTCTGAGGGTCTGGTCAGCCTTCCTCCTGTGTGATGGACGCACAGGCGCACGCACCGGCCTGGCTGGGGCTCAGCCTGGGGGCTGGAAGCCGGGACCCTGTGCTGTGGGCCAGAGAGGGAGGCGACCCCCGGGCCCCGTCCTGACTTGCAGCCATCAGAGGACCTGGGGAAGCCCCTGGCTCTGCTGATTCGGAGCGGGAGGCGTGTGGGGGGTTGGCCCAGGCAGAGGTCCCTGTGGCCAGTGGGAAAGGCGCTCTGAGGGGTGGGGTCTGCCCTAGAGGAAGCAGGACTGGGCGGGTCCCTGCCCTGGGCTAAGGGCCAGCACTGATGCCTTCTCCTCTCCTGCTGGCTCCTTGGGGACCCTGAAGCCAGAACTAAAGCTGAGGCATCCAGGAGAGAGCTGAGGGGCCGGTGTCCTGGGCTGACTTCCTCCCGGCCACTATCCAGGGCCCGTGTGCAATCCCGGCTTGGTCCAGAGCCCCTGGGGCAATCCCGGCTGTGAAACCAGGTTGCACACAAGCCCATTTCTCCTTCCTTCTCCCGAGGCCGAGTGCGCAACAGCACCCTCCACCCCAGATGTCCAAACCCCAAGAGGCCCCCAGGCCAAGAGGCCAGCAGCGACCCCAGGCCTCCTGGCCGCACGGCCACTGCCAGGGGCGCTGGCCTGCACGTCCATGCTGCCGCTGGGCCCCGGGCACGCTGCCTCTCCTCTCCCAGGGGCTCTCTCCCTGCAGCCGCCCGGGCCTGTCTCCACTAGAGCACTGACCGGGCTCATCTGGGATCAGATCGGAAGAGACGTCCCGAAGGCTGCGGGAGCAAAGAGGAGACGGTGGCCCTGTCCGGCTGGAGGTCAGGGAGGGCTTGGTTGGTGGCCTGGATTGTCAGGCAGAGGGGAGAGAGCAGGAGGCTCGGGGAGGAGTGGTGCGGTGTATGCAGCAGCCTGGCGCCTCAGGCCTGCAGGGCTCGGGGAGGGCCATGGGAGCAAGGAGACTCCAGGCCCTGCCTGCCCTGCAGGGCTCAGTGGTTGATTGTCAACCTATGAACCTGGAGGTCACAATTCTAATGCTGGTCAGGGACATATGCCCAGGTTGTGGGCTCGATCCCCAGTTTGGGGTGTGCAGGAGGCAGCCAATCCATGGTTCTCTCTCATCATTGATGTTTCTGTCTCTCACTCCTCTCCCTTCCTCTCTGAAATCAATAAAAATGCATTTTAAAAAAAATGACTCCAGGCCCTGATGCCAGCAGAAGGTGGGGGGCTCCTGAAGGCGGGTGTGTGTGTGTGAAATGGGTCATCAGCAGCCAAAGCATCCCCATAACAATGGTGAGGATGGTGAGGATGGAGAGGATGGCGACTGTGGTCTGGGGCAGCCTGGAGCCTGGAGGCGGTGGTGTCTGGAGGGTGAGGCTGCATTCAGCGGGGAGGAAGGGAGGGGGTGCAGGAGACAGGCGCAGGGATGGGGTGGGGAAGGGGGAAGTGTCCCAGCAGGAAGAAGGAGCAGGTGGGGAGATGGGGAAACCATTTCTTCACGTTGCCCTGGAGAGACATCGCCCACCGAGCAGCAGCCTGTGAGGCAACAGGGAGCTGAGGCAAGCCCAGCCGCCGGGTCCGGGCAGGGGGGCCAGTCGGGCTGCATAAAGGGGGCCCTGCGTGCTGGGGGGACTCCACTCGGGGACATGGAGACCCAGAGGAACAACCTGTGCTGGGGGCGCTGGCCGCTGCTGCTGCTGCTGCTGGGCCTGGCCATGCCCCTGCCTCCGGCCGCCGCCCAGGCCCTGAGCTATCAGGAGGCGGTGCGCCTGGCTGTGCAGGGCTTCAACCAGCGCTCCCGGGAGGCCAGCCTCTACCGCCTCCTGCAGCAGGACCCGCAGCCCCAGGACGTGAGTGGGGGGGCGAGAGGGGCTCTGCTCTGGCTTCCTGCCACTCCCTTGGCTTCTGCTTGGCTGACCTCAGGGCGGCTGCTCCCTCCAGGGGTCCCCCCTCCTCCAGGGCACCTGCCAGGACTGTGTCCCTCCCAGAGGCCGCCCCCCCCTGCAAATCTATTCTGTGCAATGAGGTCCCCCAACACCCCACTCAGGCTTCAGGGCTTCTGGGTCCCAGGGAAGGGCAGGCCATCGGGGCTGGGGTGTGACTCCATGCTTTATTTATTTATTTATAAAAATCTATTTTTGTTTTCATTTTATTTTAATTGTTAGTTTAAAATCCTCACCCGAATATGTTTCTCCATTGATTTTTAGAGACAGTGGAAGAGAGAGGGAAAGACGGACAGAAATATTGATGTGAGAGACACATCTATGGGTTGCCTCATGCACGAGCAAACCCACTGAGCCACACCGGCCAGGGCTAAATAGATTTTTATTGACTTCAGGGAGGAAGGGAGAGGGAGAGAGAGAGAAACATCCATGAAGAGATTCATGGATCGGCTGCCTCCTGCATGCCCCCTCCTGGGGAATGAGCCTGCACCCCGGGCAGGTGCCCTTGACCAGGAATTGAACCCAGGACTGAAGGTGCCCTGAGCCAAAGGGACGAGGGCACGGCCCTGCTTTGAGTGTCCTGCGCTCATCTGCCTCCCACAAAGGAGGCCCCAGGAGGCCATGCGCCCCGGGTCCCCTTGGAGCTGTGCGGGCTCTGCCCTCTCCACCCTGCCCACACCCAGCACCAAACCAGCGCCAGGAACAGGGCCGGGGCTGCTGACGGCTGTTCTCTTTGGGGGGGGGTGAGACCAGGGAACCAAGCAGAGGCCCAGTCCCGGTCTCCCCACTTTCTCTCCCACCAGGACCTGAACCCAGACACCCCGAAGCCGGTGAGCTTCACCCTGAAGGAGACCGTGTGCCCCAGGACCACGCGGCAGCCCCCCGAGGAGTGTGACTTCAAGGAGAACGGGGTGAGCAGGGGGATGGGGCGCCCCGAGGTGCTGGACAGGAGGCCTCGGGGCACATTCCCTCGGACGGGAAGGCCGGGAGGGCTCAGCACCAGGTGGAGGTGTGACCTGCGCCCTTGCAGCTGGTGAAGGTGTGCGGGGGGACCGTCACCCTGGACCAGGACACTGACTACTATGACGTCCACTGCGAGGAGGTGAGCGGCCCCTTCTGAGACCTGGGGGCCGATGGGTGTGGCGCCTGGAGCGTCCTGGGCCCTGGAGCCCCCTCCCCCTCCTCCCCCAGCCCCAGCCTGGATCTGAGTGCGGTCCCTGCCCAGGAGCCCGTTAGAAAGGCCCCCTCCCAGCCCCCCGACCAGCAGCCTCAGTCTCCGGATGAGGCCCAGCAGGGGGCAGGCAGCCACCTTCCAGAAGGTTCCTGCTGAGGCTGGGGAGCCGCTCACTGCGCTGATGAGCTTTCAGCCCGGCTCTCCTTGCTTTGCTGGATGGGCCTGTGACCTGAGGAGGCCACTGGGCACCTCTGGGCCTCAGTTTCCTCATCTGTTTAAGGGGTGGGGGCTCCACCGCAGGCTCCCAAGGTCATAGCCAGAGGGGGAGCCGGGCCCCGAGGCGCCACACTGGCCTGGGAAGGGGGTGCAGGTGGGGGGCTCCTGATCCGGCCCATCCCCACATGGAGCCCGTTTCCTCCCCCCTGCACAGATCAAGGACGTCGCAATCAGGCCCTTGGTTTCGGGGGCCCTATTCCTCTGGAAAAACAGACGCCCAATTGGGTGGGGGATCGAGAAGACTGGCAGGGGAATCAAGAGGATTTTCTCGAAACGTTCCCCTGAGCAAGAGCCCTGAGATCTGTTTGGCCCTGGCCCCGGCCTCTGGGCTCTGACCAATAAAATCTGGGAAAGCCACCTCCTCAGGCGTCACTGTCACTTGCGTCGTGAAGCCGTGCGGCTCTGTGTGTCTCTTTTCCTGAAAATCAGTAAATCGGGGGGCGGGGGGCCGGGGGGGGGGGGGGTTGGGCGGTGGCTCAGGTGATTGGAGCGTCGTCCTGGACCAAAAGGGTTCGGTTCTTCCCGGTCAGGCACTTCCCTGCTCTCAGGTCCATCCCTGGTTGAGGTGCATTTGGGAGGCAACAGGTCAATGTTTCTCGCTCACATTGATGTCTCTCTCTCTCTCTCTCTCTCTCAAAATCAATAAAAACAAGAAATCCTTGGGTGAGGATTAAGGCCGGGGTGGCTCAGTGGTTGAGCACTAACCTGTGAACCAGGAGGTGGCAGTTGGATTCCTGCTCAGGGCACAGGCCTGGGTTGTGGGCTTGATCCCCAGTGGGGGGCGTGCAGGAGGCAGCCGATCAGTGATTCTCTCTCATCACTCATGTTTCTATCTCTCCCTCCCTTCTCTCTGAAATCAATAAAAATATATTAAAACAGATAATTAAAAGCAATAAGCACCTCTCCTTATGTGAGCTCCCATGTAGCTCCCCCCACCCCCCCACCCCCGCCTCTGGGAGCCTCCAGGAGAAGGCCCTGCAGAACCCGGACCTGCCCACATGGCTTCCGGCCTAGAGAGGCCCTTCTGCTGAGGGTTCCTGTTACTTCATGTGTGTGTGTTGGGGGGGGAAAAGGGGGATGAAGGAGTGCAGGGGGCACCCCAGAAGCACCCACTAACCTGCCGTGACTCCCGGGGCCTGTGGGGCTTCTCACGATGGGCACCCACCAGGGAGGAGCCATCAGACTCCCGCAGGCCCTCGGCCCCACGACCGGGAGGCGCTGACATCGCTGCTCCCTGAGGAGCAGGGGGGACACCCTGCACCGGGGACTCCGTGCCGCGCTCCCCACCAGGGAGAACCCTCAGGGCATCCCCCGCGGATCACCAGCACCGTGTGCTCAGCCACCAGCCTCCCCGGGAGGAGCGGCCCAGGGCCAGACCGCTGAGCGCTGCGGGCGCCCGCCTTCCGGCCTCACGGACAACCAGTGCACAGGGACCACCAGATCCCAGGGAGCACCAGATCCCAGGGAGAACCAGAGCCCAGGGAGCACCAGTGCCCAGGGAGCACCAGTGCCCAGGGAGAACCAGAGCCCAGGGAGCACCAGTGCCCAGAGACTTAGAGGGAAAGGGCTGCGCAGCCCCAGCAGGGGAGCCTCTTAGACTTGCAGGGGCTGGTCTAGGCCCCTAGACTCTAGGGGAAGGAGTTGGAATCCAGAGGTTCTCAATCTGTGGGTCGCGACCCCTTTGGGGGTCAAAGGACCCTTTCACAGGGGTCACCTAAGACCATAGGAAAACACATATATAATTACATATTGTTTTTGTGATTAATCACTATGCTTTAATGACGTTCAATTTGTAACAATGAAATTGGGGGTTACCACAACATGAGGAGCTGTATTAAAGGGTCTCGGCGTTAGGAAGGTTGAGAACTACTGTTGGGATCGATAAAGGACGGAGCTAACTAACAATCCACTGTAGAGAGCAGCCGAAGGACTGGGTGCCTGCACATGGCAGAAGCAATGGACACAGACCACAGGGGCTGGGACAGGGCGATGGGGGAAGGAGACATGCAACTTTCAACAATAAAGAATTTATTTAAAAAAAATCAAGCCCTGGCTTGTTTTGCTCAGTGGCTAGGGCAGTGATGGCAAACCTGACATGTGTGTCAGAGGTGACAGGCAAACTCATTTTTTTGGTTGATTTTTGTTAAATGACATTTAAATATATAAAATAAATATCAAAAATATAAGTCTTTGTTTTACTGTGGTTGCAAATATCAAAAAATTTCTGTATGTGACACGGCACAAGAGTTAAGTTAGGGTTTTTCAAAATGCTGACACATCGAGCTCAAAAGGTTCGCCGTCACTGGTCTAGGGCGTCAGCCTGCGGACTGAGGGGGCCCATATTCGACTCTAGTCAAGGGCACATGCCCAGGTTGCCGGATCGATGCCCAGTAGGGGGTGTGCAGGAGGAGCTGATCAATGATTCTCTCTCATCACTGATGTTTCGCTCCCTCTCCCTTCCTCTCTGAAATCAATAAACATATTAAAAAATAAAATAACTCTTCCTAAAATAAAAAAGAATCCATTATAGCCTCGGGTCTAGTTGAGGCAGAATGAGTTTCCCCCCAATAATGTGCTTATGTAGAGTCTTTTTTTCTGCTTTTTAACCCTCACCCGAGGATATTTTTCCATTGATTGTTTTCTTCTCTATTATTTTTATTTTATTTTTTATTTAGTTTTCCCCATTGATTTTTGAAGAGAGTGGAAGAGAGAGGGAAAGACAGAAACACCGATGTCAAAAAAACACATTGATCGGTTGCCTCCTGCACGCCCCCTACTGGGGATTGAGCCTGCACCCCAGGCATGTGCCCTTGATTGGAATTGAACCTGGGACCCTTCAGTCTGAGGGCCAACCTTCTATCTACTGAACCAAACCAGTTAGGGCTATTTCTTCATCTCCTTTGTTGGCTTGTGCAATATTTGGTCTCACAAATTCTATATAAATTCAAGGCTCCTCACTATTCTCACTACTGTAGATTGTCATGGTATGGCCCCCAATATCCCTCCCAGTACCCCTCCCTTATGCAGGCCCTTCCCAAATGGACTCTGTCTGGTCATGTGACTTGCTTTGGCCAATGGGATGTTAGCAGACATGACAGGCGCAGGAACAGGAAAGCTTGTGAATGGGAGCTGGCCCCCTGGGGACCCTAAGACCACATGCTGTGAAGCTCCAGATGAAAGCCCGAGAGGGACCCACCCGCTGAGTGCAGCCACGGGTGAGTCCACGTGAGACCAGCGGTTCCCCCGCCAACCGACAGACACATAGGAACAAACCATCCCTCTCTCTCTCTTTATGAAATATATTTGTATTGATTTCGGAGAGGAAAGGAGAGGGAGAGATAGAAACATCAATAACGAGAAAATCATGGATCGGCTGCCTCCTGCATGCTCCCCACTGGGGATCGAGCCTGCAACCAGGCATGTGCCCTTGACCGGAACTGAACCTGGGACCCTTCAGTCTGCTGGTCGGTGCTCTATCCACTGAGACACACTGGCCGGGGCGAGATTATTCTCTTAAGAACTACATTTTGAGTTGATTCATCAGGCAGCCGTGGCCTGTGTCACATAAAGGCCGCCCCTCCCCCCAGGGCGCAGGCCGGGACTGGAGCCCACTCACCCACGACGTGAGCTGCACTGTGTGGACCCCCCAGGCACTGGAGGGGAGGGGCCTCAGGACAGGCTCACTGACTCCATCAGGACCAGCAGGCCCTGAGCAGCCGGCCTGCGGGAGGCGCGGTCGGACAGGGACTCGCACGGAGGGAGGGCCAGGTGCTGCTCGTAGTCAGTCACTCAGGCAGCTCCTCCTCGAAAAGGCGTGAACAGTTTCAGGGCAAAGCGGAGCCCTCCTTCCTCTGAGCCCCCAGGACCAGCCCAGCGAAGAGGCAGATGAGAGAGAGGCTTGGAGGCAGCGGCAGTGAGGAGCCAGGCTCTCAGGCGGGAGGGGCCTGGCCTCCCCATCCAGCCTTCAGACCCACAGGCCGGGGTCAGGCCGGTCCTGGCCGCCTGTGCCCACTGCGCAGTGGACACCCCCCTCCGGACTGTAGCGCACGGGGCCCCAGCGCCACTGCGGCTCCTCCTCCTCATACCAGCGCCGCTCGCTGAAGTCGGGGAAGAAGGCTGCGATCTCTCTGCTGGCGGAGGCCACGGAGTCTGCAGGGGAGGGAGAGAGAAGAGGGAGGGGGAGAAAGGAGAGGGGGAGAGAGGGGAGAGAGAGAGAGAGAAGGGGTCTATCAGGGAGGGCTGAGTGCAGGCAGGAGGCGGGCTCAGTCAGGTTCAGAAACCGAGCCTCTTCTGCTCTCAGTCCTGGGGCCACAGTGCTGAGGCCACCAAGGGCCAGAAATGCAGGAGGGAAAGCTCACTGCCCCCACCCCCTCCTCCCGTGTGTGCTGTGGGCCTGGGGCAGACCTACCGGAGCCATGGGTGGTGTTGCGGGTGTCGGTGAGGCCGAAACTCCCTCGGATGGAGTCGGGGGCCACGTGGCGGGCGCGGAACACCCTGGTGGGCCCCATCAGCGTCCTCCAGAGCTGGATGGCGTCCGGGTGGGCGAGGATGTAGGCTCGGATGGGCCCGCTGTGGACCAAGGGGCACATGTCAGGAACCTGGCCGCCGGGTCTCGGGTGGCACCCCGCGCACGTGTCACAGACAAAGGCGCCCTGCGGCCCGGCCGGCGTGGCTCAGGCGTGGAACATCGACCTATGAACCAGGAGGTCAGGGTGCCATTCCCGGTCAGGGCACAGGCCCGGGTTGAGGGCCTGATCCCCAGTGGATGCAGGAGGCAGCTGATCAATGACTCTGTCTCATCACTGATGTTTCTCTCTCCCCCGTCTCTTCCCCTCCGAAATCAATAAAAATCTGTTTTTAAAAAAGGTGCCCTGTACGTCCTGAGCGTTTCCGTGCCATTCTAACTGGTGCCGGTGCCCAAGAAAGCCAGGGAGGTCAGCCGTTGCTGGGCAGCATTCAGCAATACGCTGCTACGGCCACTGGCCAGTCACCAGCACGGGACAGGCACCAGGGCAGGTGGCTCAGTCCGAGCCCGAGTTCCTGTTTCTGGCCACGCATTACAACTTTAAAGAGTGGCCAGTAACGTTGATGCACCTGTTTGGGGGCAGGGGGTCTGGCTCAGTCGGTAAAGATGCGGGAGCCAGGGCTGGACGTACCTGGCCATGAACTCCACCAGCCGCTGGTAGAAGAAGCGCCCTGCGGAGAGAGCGCCGGCGTCAGGACGCGTGCCAGGAGCCTTCTGCACGCCTCCCCCGGCGCGGAAGGATGGAAACCGCTTCAGAGCAAAGAACAGGTCTGCGTAGTCGGCACACCTGGGTCTGAAGCCAGGCTCTGCCCCTCACAACCTGTGCCATTTTGGGGGAGCCATCAACGCCCCAGCTCAGTTCCCTAATCTGGACACTGAGGACACAGCAACACCTACTCGAGGGCTGTTGGGAGAATGACATGAAATCATGAGCATGAGGCCCTAGAGGGCTGGCCCAGTGGGCAGAGCGTCGGCCCCAGGCTGGAGGGTCCCGGGTTCAATTCCGATCAAGGGCACGTACCTGGGTCACAGGCTCCGACCCCAGCCCTGGTCGGGCGTGTGCGGAGCCCCGATGTGTGACGTGTCTCTCGGTCCCTCCCCTTTCCTTCCCTCCCCAGAAACCCACGGGAAATGTCCTCGGGTGAGGACTAACAACGAAGAAGCTGAGCGCGGGGCGAGGCCTGACACGGGGAGCGCCGCCCGGACGTAAGACCAGGCTCCCGGCCGGACGGAACAGAACCTTCCCAGGAAAGGCGCGCTTCCCGGGGGGGGGGGGGGGGGGGCGTCCAGGTAAAGCCGGGTGCCTCCCGGAGGGAGCAGCCGGGGCGGGTCCCACCTTCGTGCTCCTGGTAGAACCTCCGGCAGTCGGCCCTCCTCCACAGGAGCTCTCTCCTCCGCACAATGAGGAGCCGGTTCCGCAGAATCCGCTGATGGACAGCCTGGCAGGCACCGGGCGTCAGTCAGAGGGCGGGCAGGGCCAGAGCCGCCGACCCGCAGAACACGGGACCCTGGAGCCCGGACCGAGGGGCTGCCCGGGCGGGTCAGGAGAGAAGAAGTTGGGGGGAGGGGAGGACCTTCGGTCACATGACCAGCAGGTGAGCCTGGGGTGCAGGGGCAGAGTGCGGGCTGCCCCTCTGCTCCTGCGGCCCCTGGAGCGCGAGCCCACAGGGCCCCCGCCCGGGCCCTCCTCACAGCCTCTCCCTGGCGGTCCCCCCACTCTCTCCACCATCACACCTGACGCATCAGACACGCCACCCTCTCGGCCACCCTGGCCACTAGCTTTTGAGTGGTTCCCACTCTCACTCCCGAATGAAGAGCAACCACTTTGGTCCGATGCTCAAGGCTGCACTTCCTGGCCCTCCGCCACCTCCGATGCCCTCGGCCCGCCCGCCCGCCCAGCCCACCTGCGGCCTCACCCAGGGTTCCTGCCTGGCTCCCCCTCCGCGGACCGCTGGCCCTCCACCTGGGCACTGGCGGGAGCCGTCCTTCCTTAGAGGCTGGGCCTGGTCCCAACACCTGCAGACCCCCTGCTGGCGCTGCAGGGCTCACTCAGGGCTGCCAGCCACGACTTACTAACTGGAGGCTGGATGCGGGCACGAGCCACCCCCAAACCTCCAGGACCGTGGACGCCGTGCAAAACGCGTCTGTCACATGAGGGGACCCGGGGGCTCTGGGGTGGGATGCAGGGCGCGATCAGCTGACTGTGCTTTAATCAAAAGGGAGAGCATCCAGACGGGCCTCACGCATTGCCTGATGAATCAGACCTTTAAAAGCAGAGCTGTGCCTGCGGGAGCTGGAGGGGGAGCCAGAGAGAGCAGAAGCCTGTGCTGCCCTGCGCTGCCCTGCAGATGGAGCGGCCTCTAGAGGCAAGGGTCCTGCCTAGAAGCAAGGACATGGAGCCCTGGCCGGCTGGGCTCAGTGCAGAGAGCATCAGCCTGCGGACTGAAGGGTCCCGGGTTCGATTCCCGGTCAGGGCACAGGCCTTGGTTGCAGGCTCAGTCCCCAATAGGGGGCGTGCAGGAGGCAGCCGATCTATGATTCTCTCTCATCATTGATGGTTCTCTCTCTGAAATCCATCAAAATATATCTCAAAAAGCAAGGACATGGCGCTCTCAGTCCTACAACCACAGGAGCCCCAATAAGTTTGGGGGTGGGTTCTGCCCAGACGCCCCAGGTAAGGGCCCAGTCAGCTTCCGCCTTGACTGTGGCCTTGTGAGACGAAGAACCCAGCCAAGCCTCCTGTCCCTCCCCTTCTCGGACCGTGAAATACGAAGGAAGTTCTGCTTTGAGCTGCCACATCCATGGCAACTGCTACGCAGCAACAGAGCTAAGACCCACGCGCTGTCCTGAGGTGGGCTCCTGTGCGATGTGCTGGCGTGTCTTCTGTGTTATATCTGCCCCCGAGCCCGGCTCTGCCTCCGCGGACGCTGGCCCAGGACCACGCTGTCAGCGCTCACAAGCGGCCCCTGTGCACACCGTGAGGCGTAGGTCCGTTCTTACCTCCAGAATCAGCGGGTGAGCCACGGCATCGGGCTTGATGAGGGCCAGGGTGAGCTGCAGGGCCGGAGGGCTGCGCAGGATGCCGGTCATCTCGCTCCTGCGGCCAGAGCTGGGTCAGGGCCCCATCGGAGCTGCACGCCCCACCCTTCCGGCTCCGGGCCACGCAGCTCTGCCAGCCAAGCAGGGCTCCCCTCCTCACACTCACACAGCCCATGACAGTTCCATAGGAAGACTGCACACATGTCTACGCTGTTGTATAGGGTGTCCCAAAATTCACGCACGATTTGAATTTTGTGTGAGCATTAACAACAGCAAAAAATAAAAGCCTAATTTTACTTGGTTGATTGAATCAGATTCTAATATCTGTTGCCCTTTGATGTCAATCCCTTCAATGTGATAAGCATCACCAAGGACCAATGATGGCCCAGGAGCAGGGACGATGAAGACCAATGAAGACCGCGGCTTTGCGTCTGTGCCAGCAAAGCTGTGGAGGCCATTGACCCGATGTGCTATTCCATACATAACCCTAGACTGTATCCTTTATGAATCAATAAAAAATTTACAATTTTTAATTATAAGCCTGTGTTTTCTATCAAAATTACTTCTTGCGTGAATTTTGTGACACCCTATATTTCATGGCCCCTTCGTGCTCATGGGGTTGGGGGGGGCGTGATCTGGTTTGTGCCCCTGTGAGCCTAGGAGGGAGCCACCCATTCAAACGAAATTCGGGTTTAAACACGACCCGTCTCTCCCAGTCACTTCCTGCCCGTCCTACCTGTCCTCTGTGTCTCACAGCACAGTGTTCACAATTCCTACGTCTCAACAGCCAGGCCGCGGGGGCAGAACAAGGATTTCCACCCCAAAGGCCCTCTGTCTCAGTCTGCCCTCCCGTCATCTCTAGGGCCGGCAGATGGATGGGCAGGAATCGGGGTGTCGGCTGGACGCACGCCGTCTCCGACCCGCTCGCCCAGGTCGGCCAGGCTGTCCTGCCCACATCACACCCTCGGCGGAGACGGACGTGCCACTCCAGCTCAGGCCTGGCTGCAGCCATGTGCATGTAAAGCAGCTCAGAGAGCCCGAGGTGCCCGGTCCGTTTCTGTTATTTGGGTTTTTTTTTTACTTTCTTGCTTGATCAGGTCCATTGACTGCGGGAACCTACATGGTCTTGGTTTGTTCCTACTTGTACGTCTGGCGTCGAACACGCGGGGGGCCAACAAGTAGCGTGGGAGCGACACGGGGGGCAGGGCGTTCTGTCGGTCAGTCTGCACTCGGAGGCTGAGGGCTCTTCCGGCCGAGAAGCCACTTCTCCGTGAGAAGCCGGCCATCACCTCTGCAGGACCCAGGACCCAGGACCCGGTCTCCAAAGGGTCCCTGGCGGGACCCCTGCAGGTGCCACCGGGTCGAGGCGGCTCCGCGAACCACGGGCGCTCGAGCCAGCGCCCCCTCCTCCGAGCCCCGAGCAGCCTGACCACCGCGCGGCCCCCCCAAGCCACCGAGCTCAGCCGTCTGACCGGGACGGGGTCGGCCACGCCCGCGCCGACACCCGGGGGTGAGCAGCCGCGCAGGCAGGATCTCCCCGTTACCGACGGGCGCCCCCGGCCCCCGCCCGCCCTGCCCCCGTCCCCCGGTCACTGCACCCGGGGCTGCACCTCGGACCCGACACCTGCCTCCCTCTCCCACCGACACCGACGCCGAGCCCCGCCCCCCAGCCCCCAGGCCTGCAGCCGCGGGACCCTGCCCCTGTACCCGGGGACTAAGTCCGCCCAGATTCCGGGCTGTTCGGAGCCCCAGTCCAGCTGGAGTTCGGGTCCGATCCACCTAGTCCTCCGGGCGCGTCAAGTGGCCACCAGGCGCCGGGCGAGGCGGCCCGTGCGGCCCGAGCGGGGTCCTTCAGGCGCGCGGCGGGCAGCCCCCTGGGTCCTCGCCGTGGGCGGAGCCGGCGGTGGGGGCGGGGCTAAGCGCTGGGCGGCGGCGCGCCGCGGGTTCGCCAGGGCTCCCGGGGCGCCCCCTCGCGGCGGGGAGGGTGAGCGGGACGGGGCGCGGGGCGGGCGGCGGGCGGCGGCCTGGCGGGGGCCCTGCCCCTTGCACCTGCGGGGCCGCCCGCGCGGCCCTGGTCCGACCCTCGTATCGGAACCTCCGTGGTTCGGTTCAAGTTTCTGGAACCAGACCCCGGTGCGCCGAAAGCCCTGCCACCCGCCGCCGTGGATGCAGCCTGACCGGGACCAAAGCCTCTTTAAAAGATGGCTGTTCGCCGAGAAAAGAGCCCGCCAGCACGGTTCCCGCTGAGCCCTTTACTGGACGGCAGGTGGAGGGGTGCGACCCTGGCCGTTGAGGGGGTGCTCGGGGCCAGCACCCGGGGGGGGGTGCACCCGAAGAGGCGGCCGTTGTGTCACGTGCTCGTCGGGGGTTCTGCAGCTCCGGCGTCTTCATGGCAGATTCAGGAGTTTTTCTGCAAAAGAAGCGTCAGCTCAGAGAAGCCGGCTGGGGAATGAAGAGGGAAACCTCCACCCGGTCGCCGCGCCCGTCGCCCCGCCGGAGGGGCCGTGCGGGCTCCTGGGGGAACCGCCGGGGCGGGCGGGGCGGAGGGGACAGCGGGCGCGGCGACCCTGCGCCTTGGGGGCCGGAGGGGGGCGCCACAACCTAAATTATCACCAGGGACTGGGCCCCGCACGCTCGTGGCGCCCTTGGAGCTTGGGAAGTGGGTGTGAGTCCTGAGGAAAAGGTGAGTTTCCAGATACTTGGTAGTTTTTCTTTCTGTTTGTTTTTTTTAAAATGTGTTTTATTGATTTTTCACAGAGAGGAAGGGAGAGGGATAGAGAGCCAGAAACATCGATCAGCCGCCTCCTGCACACCCCCCACCGGGGATGTGCCCGCAACCGAGGTACATGCCCTTGACCGGAATCGCACCTGGGACCCTTCAGTCCGCAGGCCGACGCTGTATCCACTGAGCCACACCGGTCAGGGCTTTGTTTCTGCTTTGAGTGATGCACTGTTTCTCATGTATTTTCCAACTAGAGGCCCGGTGCACGGATTCGTGCACCCGTGGGGTCCCTGGGCCCAGCCTGCGGGGATCCGGGGAATCCGGCTCTCCGACATCCCCCAAGGGGTCCCGGATTGCAAGAGGGCGGTTCTCAGGTGACGCACCCCGGAATTGGGCTCCCTCCTGTCTGGTTCCTGGTGCCAAGTGACAGCAGCTCGGCAGCTCCTGGTGGAGCATCCGCCCCCTGGGGGTCAGTGTGTGTCATAGCCACTGGCCAGTTGGCCGGTTGCTTTGGCTTTTCTGTGTATGGATTGGGTGTTACTGCTGTAAAGAAGTTATGGAGCCCGCCGGCGTGGCTCAGGGCCGAGCATGGACCTAGGAACCAGGAGGTCACCGTTCGACTCCCGGTCAGGGCACGGGGGCGGTTGCGGGCTCGATCCCCAGCGTGGGGCGTGCAGGGGGCAGCCGACCCGTGATTCTCTCTCATCACGGATGTTTCTCCCTCTCCCTCCTCTCTCTGAAGTCAGTAAAAAAAATATACACATTTTAAAAATTAAATAAAACAGCATTGTTGGTGTGCAAGAAAGTGTCCACACTTCTCAGAGACGTACTCTGAGTATGTGGGAGTGAGATAACGTGTGTCTGAGGTTTGGGTTAATAAACTTCAGCGAAGAAAGAGGAGGCGAGGAAGCAATGTGCACACACACATGCAGGCGTCCGGGTTTATACGTCACTGGCTCTCACTACCTATGCCCGAGATTTTCCATGACAAAACATTTAAAATTCTCCACTACGGTGAGCCCTTAACTCTATTTGGTTCACTCCTAAAAATTAAACATAGAAGCGCCTTTACTTACGCAAGGTCCATCATGCAGTTTAGTTACGTCAACCTTTTTATAGCTGAAAGAAATTATATTTTGAAATGATTATTTTTGCTCTATGATATAAGTTATGACTTTTACTTGATAATCTTTAGCTAAGTTTGAGAAGAAAACATTCTGCTAATAGTGAATTCTTATTTTAATAAGTATTTTAAAATATCTATTACATAGATCTTTATTTGTCAAAGAGAGTGAACATATAAAATATACTCAGCCTTAAGTCAAATATAGAAAATTCAAAGTAATCTTGAATATTTAATAAAAGCATTAGAGAGAGAATGTACATTAAAGTATGCATTTGATGAAAGTTAAGCCATTACTAGTGACCTTAAAGAAGTAATATCTATAAGGGGATACTATGAACAATTGCACATCAATAAATTAGGTGCCCTAGATGTAATAGACAAATTCCTAGACACACACAAGTAACCTAATCGGACTCAAGAGGAAACAGAAAATCAACCGACCCATGTCAGGGAAAGAGATCGAATCAATAAAAAATCAAACTAATAATAAAAGTTCAGAATCCGATGTTTTCATTAGTAAATTCTAACAGGCATTTTAAGAGGATTTAATACCAATCTTTCTCAAACTCTTCCAAATCATAGAGGAATAGAACTCCCTAATCATTTTATGAAGCCAGAATTACCGTGATAACAAAGACATCATAAAAAAGGGAAACTACAGCCAAAACCGGTTTGGCTCAGTGGATAGAGCGTCGGCCTGCGGACTGAAAGGTCCCGGGTTCGATTCCGGTCAAGGGCATGTACCTGGGTTGCGGGCACTTCCCCAGTGGGGGGTGTGCAGGAGGCAGCTGATCGATGTTTCTCTCTCATCGATGTTTCTAACTCTCTGTCTCTCTCCCTTCCTCTCTGTAAAAAATCAATAAAATATATATTTAAAAAAAGGGAAACTACAAACAAATCCCTCATGAATACGATGCAAAAATTCTCAACTAAATGCTAATAAATTGAAGCCAACTGAATATTAAAAGATTATACGTTCTGATCAAGTGGTTATTTATCCATGAGCGCACTGTGACTCAACCTAAAGCTGTCAGCCAGTGTAATAACATATTAATCAAACAGGGGAAAAATACGTTTTTCTCTCTTTAAAAAAATTTTTTAATTGATTTCAGAGAGGGAGGGAGAGGGAGAGACAGATGGAAACATCAGTGATGAGAGAGAGTCATGGATCGGCTGCCTCCTGCACGCCCCACACTGGGGATGGAGCCACAACCCGGGCCTGTGCCCCGACCGGGAGTCTGAACCGTGACCTCCTGGTTCCTAGGTGATGCTCAGTCACTGAGCCACGCCGGCCAGGCTGTGTTTCTCAATTGGTCCTTGTCCAGGCCAGACACAGCACCCTCACCTCCAGGGGTTCTGGTTCTGCAGGGTGTGAAGGGGAGCACTTTGGGGAGCACAGGGAAGAATGGAAGAAATGGGGGAGCAAGTCGTGGAGGAGACTGGAGGGAAGATGGACCGAGTAGGAAGCCGCCTGAGGAGGTCCCGCCTGTCGTAGCCGCCGTTAGTCTCCTGCCCTGAGGGGAGGGAGGAGGGAGGGAGACTTACAGGACGGTGACGCAGAGGTGGCATTCCCCGTTGTAGGTGACCTGGTCGCTGCCACAGACGGGCTCGCTTGGCTTGATGTAGGAGACGAACCAGCACTGGTTGATATTGTTGATGCAAACGACCTGGAGGTGAGAGCCAGACACTTGTGGGTGCCTGCACCCAGGCCCTCCACTGTTCTCACTGCCACTGGGGGAAGGGGTGTCAACCCCGACGGTGGCTGTTAGCGATGGGGGGGGGGGGGGGCGGGTGTAATCTGATAGATAGAATAATCCTATTATTTTAAAATCTTAGAACACATATATGTACTTATATGAATAGGGGATTCAGTTTCTTACACGTGAGTAGGGGGTTAAGTTTTTCTTAAGTTTCCTTTCCAAGGCCTGTGCCAAGCGATGGAGGAGGTGGTACTTTGACTCCAGCAAGTAGAACTGATAAGCACGGTCAGACCGACCCACCAGGAGTCAAAACATCACCTCATCGCCTGGTGACTAAGGACAACAGCTGCCGGCTGCCGCCTCCAGGCCTGCTTGGAGCTGCATTCCATCCCCAGCCTCACCCCACCCCCTCCTCTTACAGTCCTGTCCCTGCACCTGCTGGGAGATGGGATCTGAACGCCTGTCAGCGCCCTGCCTTCTTGGTTGGCAGGCCTCCTCAGTAAACGCCTTCTAGGAGGCAACCCGGCCTTCCTTACGGGACACGGTGACGGTGACGGCAGCCCGAGCCCCGCCCTCTCCCGGGGGCTTCCCGGTCACATCAGGTCACGGAAGGAAAGTGTCCCTCAAGGCTAGACTTTCCTAAGAGTGACGCGTGTGTGGCTGCGGCAGGCAGCAGTGGCTCACACGGGCAGGCGCAGTGGCGTTAGGATGTAGCCGGAAAGGGACAAAGTGACTGCATGCGGGGCCCTGCTGTGCGGGAGGCAGGATGTGAGCCTCCGCACATCCCAGCTGATTTCAGCCATGGCTTCATCACCCAGCGAATGATGCGACATGCTGCCTTCTAGCCCGCCAGAGAGTTGTATGAAGCGACTGGGCTAAGGAATGGGAAGAGGGCTCAGGGACACGGAAAACGCGCCACCCATAGGCGACGACTCAGCTTTTATGGGGGCGTGATTCCCAGGCCAGCCCCCTCCGGCCCCCAACTCCCAGCGGTCAGAGCTGGGGGCACGGGGCTCCTCCCATTGCTGGTCCCGGAGGCCAGGAGGCAGGCTCACCTTGGTCTCTTGGACGCTCGCCCCTTCGCCGGTGGGAACAAGGAAGTCTGGAAGACAAAACAGCTTCAGAAAGGTCCCTCTCAGCCTCCGCCCCAGGGAAGAGCCCCCAGGGAAGAGCTCGGGGCAGGGACCTGGCTGGCCGCCAGGAGCTTTGATCCCTCAGATGAGGCTGCCCGGAGGGTGCCCGGAGGGTGCCCGGAGGGGGGAGAACTGGGGAGCGCCCGCCTTCGCCCGCATGCATGTGAGAGGAGACCTCCGGTATACTTGGATCTTGTTCTTAAAATTTTAGTCAAATAATTTCTACCTTTTGGACTGGGTTGTGGAATCCATTCACATAAAGTTTTATGATGTAGTTAGATTTGATCTGCATTTTACTTTTTTTAAATATGGAACGCTTCAGGAATTTGCGTGTCATCCTTGCGCGGGGGCCATGCTAATCTTCTGTGTATCGTTCCAGTTTTAGTGAATGTGCTGCCGGAGCAAGCTCTGGCATTTTGCTTTTTGTCGTCGATATGTCTCATCTCTTTTTGTTTCCCTTTCCTCTTTTGCTGCATTGAGAGAAGATAATCGGGTGTAACATTGTAATTCCCATAATTTTTCACTATTTCTCAGAATATATATATTTTTTTAAAAATATTTTTTTATTGATTTCAGAGAGAAGGGAGAGGGAGAGAGAGATAGAAACATCTATGATGAGAGAGAACCATGGATCGGCTGCCTCCTGCACACCCCCCACCAGGGATCGAGCCGGAAACCCGGGCATGTGCCCTTGACCGGAATCAAACCCGGGACCCTTCAGTCCGCAGGCTGACGTTGTATCCACTGAGCCAAACTGGCTAGGGCTAATGTGTGTGGTTTTTTTAAATTGATTTGAGAGGGGGGGGGGGGGAGGGAGAGGGAAAGAGAAACATCGGCTGCCTCCTGCACGCCCCCTACTAAGGATCAAGCCCGCAAGCGGGGCCTGCGCCCTGACGGGGAATGGAACCAGCGACCCCTGGGTGCACGGGACAAGCTCGCGGCACTGAGCACACTGGCCGGGCCTGGACAGGTGCAGCGGCTGCACTAGCCCTCACCATCTGTATCCGCCAGAGCCTGCCTCCGACGTACACTCTTAACTCTGCTCCCGGGCAGCCCTGTTTCTCCTTCCTTCCTTCCTTCTGGGGGGGGGGGGGGGGTGGGGCGGCGCTCAGGCCACAGGAGGAACTGGGAGTAAGTAAAACCATCCGGCACGTCCACGTCTCCCTCTCGCTTCCCCACGATCCCGGCGGCCTGCCGGCCTGTGGGCAGAGCAGGGACAGGTGACTCACCCACCGCCAAGGCAGCCGGCGCGGAGACGGCCAGGAGGAGGACGGCGCTCAGGACGGCCCGGGACATGGCGGCAGGAGCTGGGGAGCAAGGCAGCGGGTGAGGGCGGACGCACGCAGCTCTCCGTGGTCAGGACGCGGAGCCACGTGCCTCAGGGGGTTCTGTCCTTCATTCTGCGGAACGCGTGGTGTCTGAGGCAATGAACCTGCTTCACTTATAAACATTAGAGAACAGGATCTCAACAGGATTTTAGAAGATGCCAGAAAAGGACGTCCTAGAGTATCTGCCAGGAGCCCTGATGAGGCACAAGACTGCCCGGCCCGCACGGCTCAGGGGCTGAGGTTCGACCAAGGGACCAGGAGGTCACCGTTCGATTCCCGGTCGGGGCACAGGCCCGGGTTGCGGGCTCGATCCCCAGTGTGGGGCGAGCAGGAGGCAGCCGATCCATGATTTTCTCTCACCCTTGATGTTTCTATTTCTCCCCTCCCTTCCTCTCTGAAATCAATAAAAATGTATTTTTTAAAAATAGAATAAGCACCAAAAACGATTCAGTGAAGTGTTGAAACGCTGGTCTTATCTCTGAGATAAAAAGGGCAGAAACTAGAAAGTCAGCGACACAGGGAAGTCAACACACAGCAAACTCCCTGCCCCAGCCTTCCTTCACTCCAGTGTTAACGCTTAGTAACGAATCACATCATTGACGACAACCGCAGCCTCCGTACCCACAGCTACTTGCATTATTGAAAACGTCGTAGGACAAGCCGGTTGGCATTATCTGCAGGTTTCTGTACCTGTTTCTATACATTTTCGAGGTAAATTCTCTATCTAGGTAACTTCTGCCCAAGACCTTCCCTGAGTAAAAATAAATAATATAATGGTTTTCCTGCTCAGAAGTCGGCAAGTTAGTGAGGGCGCTTTACCTGCTGTGTGACTGCACCGGCCTCCTGGACTCGCTGGGCGAGGTGTCTGTTCTCGGGTGTCAGGCAGGCAGTGGCGCCGCGTGTCGGCCGGAGCAGGACGCAGTCCTCCCAGGCCTGACGCTGGCAGCGGACGAGAGTGACCTTTAAAGGCAGGAACCGGCCCTCGCCCGCCATGCTCTGCACGCGGACCCTGGCGTTCCCGCTGCACCGCCCCCCTCCACCCAGAATCCAGTTGTCCTGCCAAACCCGAACCAACCCTTTTGGCAACGTCACACCCAGTGTTTGAAGCCCTACATTTTTTTTGTTAATCCTCACCCGAGGATATTTTTCCCATTGATTTTTTTAAAAATATGTTTTTATTGATTTTAGAGAAGGGAGAGGGAGAGAGATAGAAACATCAATGATGGAGAGAATCATTGATCGGCTGCCTCCTGCACGCCCCCTACTAGGGATTGAGCCGCAACCCAGGCACGTGCCCTTGACCGGACTCGAACCCAGGACCCTTTGGTCCGCAGGCCAATGCTCTATCCACTGAGCCAAACTGGCTAGGGCTGAATCCCGGCGTTTTTATCTCTATTGCAATGACTGATTCAGGGTTGCTTCAGCTATTTACACACGACTACACATCTCCGCACCTGCAGGTGTCATCGGGGAGAGACCTCCCGATGAGCCAATAGCATCCCACGCAGGTCACACACACACAGGGCGCTCAGCGAGGAAGCCGCAGAGCCCCCTCTGCACAAAGCCTGGTCCCTGGCAGCTGCCGCAGGGGGAGAGGGGTGCAGGGGAGAGTGGGGTGTGGGTCTCCAGCCAGGGGGCTGAGGGGCCGCAGGTGCCAGGTGGGTGCAGCGAGCTCCCACGGGTGGCTGGGCTCTGAGTAGTTACAGCCCCGAGGGGTGCAGGTGCCACTCGGCGTGCCCGATGGACAGCTGGCTGTTGTTTAAATTTTAGTTTTCGTGTTTTCTTTCCATCGGTTTCAGAGGAAGGGAGAAGGAAGACAGAACCATCACGATGAGAGAACCACTGATTGGCGCCTCCTGCTCGCCCCCCACTGGGGCTCGGCCGCAACCCGGGCCTGTGCCCTTGGCTGGCATCGAACCCAGGACCCTTCGGTCCGCAGGCCGGCGCTCTGTCCACTGAGCCACACCAGCCAGGGCATGGATTTTAGTTTTTTAAATTTTTTAAAGATGTGAAACGCGTCCCCATTTCACGCCTTGCTGACACAGTGGGATTTGCCGCTGGCTCGGCCTTTGGGGGCGCCCTGACCCCTCCCTCAGCCCTGACCTCGCCCGCGCCCAACTTCCGGGGCGCCTCCCGCTGGACCCTGAAGTGTCCGAAGCCCCTCCGCTCCGCTGTCCACGCAGGTCCACCCACGGCCCGACTCCCGAGCCCCGGGAGCCCCAGCGCGGCATCAGCGGCCCAGACGCCGGGCCTCCTGCGCCCCCACTCCCACCGGCCCCCCAGTCCTGGGGCTGCCCCGTGGGGGGCCGAGCCCTGGAGGTTGGGCTTCTCCTCCCCCCGCACCCACCCCCACGGGAGCGTCGGGAGAGGTCACCCTGCCCCCCCGGCCCCCTCTTCTCTCCATCCACCCCCCCACCCCCTCGAGTCCGCTAAGTCCTCCCAGAGCCGAGGCCAGACTGCCCTCGTGGCCTCCCTGCGGGCCCTGGGATCGGGCGCTGGAGCGCGGCCTGGGCGCTTGACCTTGGGGGGGGCACCTCCGCTCCAGGCCCGCCCCCCCCGCGCTGCCGGGAGCCAGTCCATCCTTGCTGTTTCAAGGGACCTGGCATATATGGCATACTGTTCTTAATATGTTTGCTCACCTTCTTGGCACTATGTGTTTTAACCAAGGTCACCTCTCTGAGAAAGGTTGTTTCCCCAGGTAGGGATTTTCCCCTGAAGTTAGGGAGGGAATAAAACCCCTTAACTAAGTGCCAGGCGGGTAATTAATCACTTTAACTAGGAACAATCGTGCTTAAGCTACATAATCTTTACTCCCTGGAATGAAGATAAGAAACGCCCTAACCTTTGTAATAGAGATTGATAGGATTGAATCAACTGGTATAAATACAGATGCAACAAGACAGCAAGACATAGAACTTGGAACTCAGAACTTAGAATACAGAGCTTAGAACACAGAACTAGAGACAGAAGAACTTCGCTGGAGAGAACATGGCAAAAGATCCTGGACTGAACCTGACTACAGAAATGGGCAAGAGAACCTGACTAGAACCTGGTGACTGAACCTGGCTGGAGAACCTGGACAGAACCTGGCTGGAGAACCTAGCAAGAGAACATGGACACAGAACCTGGCTGGAGATCTGAAGCAGAACCTCTCTGGAGATCCAGACCAGAACCTGGCTGGAGATCCTGGCTGGAGATCCTGGCTAGGCTGCTGATCAACTGAACGCTGCCTCCATGTCATTCCTTCTTTGCCGACTCCGTCCACACCTTTGGGGACCCCTGGACCCGCTGGGGTTGGACCCCGGCACCGCGCCTGCGGTCCCCCCGCCCCTGCTCTTCGGGCTCCGGGAGGTGCTGGAGGGCCTGCCGTCTGGGCTTCACCCTGTCCGCCCCACCCCGGGCCCCCCACCAGCTTCTCGGGACCCAGGTGTTTGCTAGGGCGGCCTTGGGGGTGGGCGGCCTTGGGGGGACGCCTGGGGGGGGGTGGCCTTGGGGGTGGACGGCCTTGGGGGGACGCCTTGGGGGGGTGACCTTGGGGGTGGGCAGCCTTGGGGGGGGACGCCTGGGGGGTGACCTTGGGGGGGCGGCCTTGGGGGGTCATGTTGCTCCTTTAAGCCTGTGCCGATTCAGAGGCTGGGGCCCTGCCGCACCGAGGGGGGAGGAAGGGATGGGGACCCCTGATTTCTAGGGGGGCGACCACAGGGTGGGGCCCAGCAGCGGCGGAGCCCGGGCCTTTGCTCGCTCCCGGGGGTCAGCAGTGGGTGCTGGGGGTAGATTTCCTTTCCCACAGTTTCCTCGTTCGTATCTTGTTTGATATGGTTGCCCCTGAGCCTAAGTATTAGATGTAGTCACATAGTTTTGTGTGTTTTTTGGTAAAATTTTGTTTTATATTTTTACTTTAAATCTTAAGTTATCTGGATATTTCTAATTTAAATATTGAAAGCTTAGTTCTACATATGGTGTGAGTTAGGGCTGATTTTTCATATTTTACAGACACAATTATGATGAAGCTATCTATCAAATTTAACATCTTTTACTCTAAAGAAATACCATATTCTTGTCAGTTTCTTATAAATATAGGAAAATGCTTCATTCTTTCTTATTTATTTTAATTATTCTTTCATCCTCACCTGAGGATATTTTTTCCCATTAATTTTTTAGAGAGAGTAGAAGGGAGGGAGGGGGGATATATGTGTGTGTATATATATATATACAGAGAGAGAGAGAGAGAGAGGGAGAGAGAGAGAGGGAGAGAGAGAGAGAGAGAGAGGGAGAGAGAGAGAGAGAGAGAGAGAGGGAGAGAGAGAAAGAGAGAGAGAGGGGGGGGGAGGTGAGAGGACGCATCGACTGGTTGCCTCCCTCTGGTGCCCGACTGGGCTGGGATCGCACATGCGGCCGCCGTCCGTGCCCCCGACTGGGAGCTGAACCCGCCACCATGCGGTCCTCGGGCCAACGCGCTAACCGCTGGGTAAAACTGGCCAAGGCTATTTACTTATTTTTTTTAAAAAAATTTTTTTAATATATTTTATTGATTTTTCACAGAGAGGAAGGGAGAGATAGAGAGCTAGAAACATCAATGACAGAGAAACATCGATCAGCCGCCTCCTGCACATCTCCTACTGGGGATGTGCCCGCAACCCAGGTACATGCCCCTTGACCGGAATCGAACCCGGGACCTTTCAGTCCGCAGGCCGACGCTCTATCCACTGAGCCAAACCGGTTTCAGCTTATTTTTTAAAATATGTTTTTATTGATTTCAGAGAGGAAGGGAGGGGGAGAAAGAGAGAGACACATCAGTGATGGGAGAGAACCGTTGATCGGCTGCCTCCCACACGCCCCCCACTGGGGACCCAGCCGGGAGCTCAGGCCTGTGCCCGGACCAGGAACGGAACCGCGACCTCCTGGTTCATGGGTCGGTGACGCTCAATCACTGAGCCCCACGGGCCAGGCTATTCCTTCTTTCGTTGACTATTTTATTTCTTCTATTACTGTTGGTGCTCTAATTTATCTTGTATATTCAAGATTACATTCCACTGCTGAATAACCATGAAAGGTTAAAACAGATGTAAGGGCATCATATTAAACTGCATATTAAACTATTCCCAAACCACGTAAGTCTAGTGACACGAGGGTAATAAATCAAGGACGTGGTTTACTTTTTAGGCAGAGACAAATCTGTGTGACATCATCACTGCAATATTTTTTTTACTATTTTTCTGTTCTAGCCAGAACATGTGAGGAGAGGAAAAAAAGAGAGGAATGAACAATTTAAAAAAAGTAAAGCATTTACTTAGAAAGGATAACCATTTGTCTTTGAAAACAGAACTAAATGAAAATACCTAGAATTAATAGTGTCCGGTACGAGCACGGATACAAAGTAACACAGAGAAGTGAATCGATGCTTATGAGCCGACAAATGGCTCTCAGCGTTGAAAACGAACTCTACGTGTCTGGCAGTTAGGGCAGCGGCCGCCGTGGGAACAGGGGACCGACCAACAGAGCAAAGGCGGGCGTCCGGTCCGGGGGCTTACCCGGCAGGAACGCACGCACGCAGGTCGCGCAGGCGGGAGCCACGGTGTCGCCTCCCGGGGACGCTACGTGACCGTGGCCTGCAGACCCGGGGCTGGGCCGGACGGCGGCCAGGAGGGAGAGCCAGGAGGAGGGGAACGCTGACTCACAGCCGACTTCAAACTTCCTCAAAGGAGGGGACAGGGCGATGCCCACGCTAAGCACAGAAAACACGCTATCACATACGAGTACCCGGAAATGTGTGAAAAGAACACCTAAGAACTGCAGTGGGTTCTTGCCGTCAACCAGGCATTAGGCACAACCATCTCCGCCAGCCCCAGCCGCCTCCTCGCCCGGCTCCTCATGGTGAGTGGCTGCCACCGGTAAACACTTCCCTGTCTCACCCACCCACTCAGCGACTCATTCCCATTCGATAGCCAGCTCATTGCAGCCGTCGTGCCCCGAAGGCGTCCGTGGAGACACATATGGGGATAGAAATGGCCGG